CTCTCTTCCTATACCTCCTCCCTCCCTTGTCTCCTTGTCTCCTCCTGCAGGTATCAGGTGTCCTCACCCTGGCGGGGCCGACACCCACGAACATCTCGAGGAACTCTGATCCGTTGACGGTGATAAACGGAACGTTTGCTTCGCCGGCCGTCGCTTTGGCCAGAAGAGTTTTTCCGGTTCCAGGAGGACCAGTCAAGATGGCTCCCTGTGGATGCAACAAACACTCAGCTGTACAAAGTACACACTTCACAACTCCCCCATCAGTTTCATGACCCTCCCCTTGGATGACCTTGACATTTCCTGCCCCTCCTATCTTGTAGCCCCGCCCCCTCACCTTGGGGATCTTGGCACCCAGGTCCTGGTACTGTTTGGGGTTCTTGAGGAAGTTGACGAACTCCATGATCTCCAGCTTGGCCTCCTCGCAGCCCGCCACATCTTTGAACTTGACGTCGACCTCATCTTTCAGGATCTTCGCCGTCGTCTCGCTGACACTGAACAGGCCGCCCATCCCCCTGCCGGGACGCCCCGTCCCCGCCGGGCCTCGCCGCAGCATGAACAGCAGGAAGCCGATGATGAGCACGGTGGGGAGCATGCTCAGTAGGAACGTGCTGCGGGAGAAGCACACATATCAGTTGAAGTGGAAGCAGGAAGCAGGAGGTGGCACCGCGGACTAATGTGGGGCTGCTCACCCGTCGCTCTCGGTGGAATAAACCACCGGCAGCCGGTTCTCTCCCTCGATGCCGAGCTCGTACTGAGCCGTCTCCAGGTTCCTCTCAAACGTGTCCACGCTGCCAATGTTGAACCACACATACTGCTGCAGTACACAAACAGCAGAGATCCCTCAGAACCGAGAGCCAAAGAACCGAGCACAATGTTTACAGAGCAGAGCGGGACTCACCCCGTCCACCGGCGTCTTCCCCGGAGAGAACACCACTTTAACAAAGCGCTTGTTGATCACCTCCAACCGATCCACCTGCAACACACAACAAACTCACTGAGCCACCGGATCAAAGTTCTGCAGGTGTATCACGTCAACAGTTCAACAGCTTCCAGGATGATTCTTTCATTTGCGGCAGCAGGAGGAACAGACCACCCGAGCTTTGGACTGGTCCATCCTGATGCAGACTGTCCGTCTGACTTACGGTTACTGAACATTTACTGACTTTTACTGGGAATCAAACCAGCTCTCAACATATCAAGCTGGTAAAACTATATTAGACACAAAACTAACAAAACACAGACCCACCGACTACAAACACAGCAGCAGCAAGAGACACCAGCTGAGCTCAGACAGAACCAGAACCAGTCCGTCTGAACCGGACGTCAACAAGTGGTCTGTGTTTCTGCTTTTAGTTCAAACTGATGGACAGCAAGTGGAGATCAGCAACCAACATCTGGATCATCTACAAACAGCAGCTACCTGCTCTGGGTTCTGTTCCTCAACAGTTCTGGTTCTGGACCAGCAGCTCATTTATTCTCATGAATCCTCTGAATGTGCAGCTGCTCTGTTCTGAGGGTCTCAGTAGAAAACTGCAGATTCCAGAGGTTTCATCTGCTGCTGGTGGTTTATGTTCATTTAAGGTCACTCAGAGCTCTGAGGAACATCTAGAACGTCCACTGAGAACCTGCTGGTTTTCATCGACCAGTTTATGACTTGAGTTCAGCAGGATTTTCTGCGGTTCACTACAGGTGTGGTCAGATTACAGGTGTGCTCCTCACCACTCCTTTGGACAGGTAGTTGTTGACAAAGTCCTTCCAGGTGACCTCTCGGCCTCCGTCCCGGAACAAGAAGTAGTAGGTGACAGTGAACCAGAACGTCACTCCGCCCAGAAAGAACATCCGGAACTCCTTGTCATCCCAGGGAACGTCACCCTGAAACAAACACCAGCTGAGAATCACCTGTCCAACCTTCACACACTCACTGGGTGAAAACACTGATCCACCAGATCCACCTGACAGAGCACGTGAGAGCTGAGCGACACCTGGACAGGTAAAATCCAGGTGGAGTTGCTAGAAAAAGAGACTGACCTTCTGCAGGCGACTGTACCAGTGAGACTCCTCTTTACGGCCTCCTCTCTTTCCTCCTCCTCCTCCTCCAGATGCTCCTCCTCCTCCAGATGCTCCTCCTCCTCCAGATGATGCTCCTCCTCCAGATGCTCCTCCTCCTCCAGATGCTCCTCCTCCTCCTCCAGATGCTCCTCCTCCTCCTCCAGATGCTCCTCCTCCTCCTCCAGATGCTCCTCCTCCTCCGGATTCTCCTCCTGAGGACCTCTCTGAGGCTCTCTGAGCGTTGGAAGGTTTAGATTCTGAGAGCAGACAATCATCTATCAGCAGCTGATCAGCTAGAATCAATAGCAGCTACTTGTGAACTGATCTTCAGGTACAGAAGTCACAAAAACAGTAGGTGTCGTCAAGACTCTACCTTTGGCTGCAGCCTCGGTTTCGCTGTTTTTCGGAGTTTTCTGACTGTCACGAAAATATTTCTCAAAACCTGAATAAAGCAAAAACATGTCAGAATACGTAACACAGTCAGGCTACTGCTCTTTAGCAGCTGTTATGCTAATATGTCACATGGTGACGGAGATAAAAACCAGCAGATAAGCTGGACTCCAAAGCAGGAGTTTGAGGAGACGAAGAGCAGCGAGAACGTTGGAGTGGACTTTAGAGCAGCTGTCTACCACACTGGAGGAAGGAGGAACCCAAGAGCTGAACATTTATAACACAGTTCTGTACCTTTGGGAGGTTTGGAGCTCAGCCTCCTGTAGGCTCCCAGCAGGTCAATCAGCAGGCTCCGCCCACTCTCTACCTGCCCAGCCGTGGTCAAAGACATCACCTGCTCAACACAGACAAGACATCACCTGAGCTCAACACCTGTCTCTGGTCAACTCAGAATGAACAGGCGACTGATGTGTACAGTTTTATCCACAGGTGAGTCGAGAACACAACAGGTGAAGCTGATCCTGAGCAGATTGCAGCGTCCTAACACTCACAGTTTAAAAAAACAGATTTCAACCCAAAACTCTCCAGGTAGGAGCAGACAGGTATCTTATGGCAGAAATTAAAACACTAACGGTCACTGCAATGATTACTCCATTAGCTATCAACTATGAAAGCACACTCCACATATTTTGATGATCAGTTGAAGTACTTTTTATTTTAAAATAACTTCTAAATTCTGTGATTTCTTCTATGTGAATATTTTCTGGTTTCTTTTCTCCTCCACGACGCTAAATCGGATATTTTTGAACAAAACAACACTTTTGAGGAAATGCTGATCCACATGTTTAACTATTTTCGGACATTTTAGAGCCCAAACAGCTGATTGATGAAACCTAGAAATGAATGAAAATCACAACAGGTGTATGATGCAGGTGCAGAAGCTCACAGGTGCGTGTTCCTCTGCAGCAGCCAGTGAAGATCACAGCATTCATTTAATGTCTGTTAGTGTGTCAAATACAGAAGTAACATCACCACAATACAAGCTGTTAAACAGCCCGTAAAACACTGGGTTTATGAGCAGCATTTTATATCTTGCTCCTCTGATCCCTGCGGGCTGCACCGGCTCACAGTGGCCCTGTCAGCCGCTCCGGAGCTCAGTGCTCGGGTTGTTGTGGTCTCTGTCAAGGTTAGCATGCTAGCATGTTAGCACGTCCTCCACCTACCAGCCTGGTCGGAGCGCCGGAGGGCGGCAGCAGCAGCCGAAACAGGCTCCTACAGCCGGCCGACAGCCGCAGGTAGCGGTGAGCCATCCTTCCGGCGAGAACAGTGCGACCTGAAGCGGCAGAAAGCAGCGGGGACGAAACTAAACACGACCGGAGCTCTGCTCTGCTGTTCCGTAACCACCGCGGTCCGCCATCTTTATGCAGCACTTGTTCTCCGCGGATCATTTCAGGTGTCAGCGCGCTGACAGCGCCCCCTGCGGCCACACACACACACACACACACACACACACACATATATCACATGAGACACAGACGTAGACTGCAGATAACATTTTGATGCTACGTTTTTTATTACTTCTCATTATACTTTCTGTTTTAGTATTTATATGCAGGCTGTGGTCACTTGTCTGAGGAAGGCTTTGGGCAGAAGCACGTGGGTGCTTACAGGTGCGTTATAGAAGCATTTAGGCCTCCATGGCTGATTCAAACTGCTCCCTTCTTCAACCAGACCTTTAAAAACTGATTGGCTATGACATAGATTAATTTAAAAATGCTCTGCTTCAGCTCTCTCTGAACAGACACTGAACATGTAAGAATGATAGCTAGTGACACAATGAATAGTGACGTTATTATTATTATTATTATTATTATTATTATTATTGTTGTTGTTGTTGTTATACTAATAAAACTATAAAACAGTCGTAATATATGAATCATAATAGCAGTTGTGTTACGGCTGTGACCATCTGCAGCCGCCTGGTGTCGCTGTCGGCTCTCCTCCAGGTGCATGCCGGGTAGAGCAGGATGGCGTCTGCGGGCTGTGTGGAGGAATGAAGCGGCTGACCGCTGCCTGTTTCCCCGGTGAACCAGCACTGTCAGCGGCCTCAGAAGTTTCACAGAGCGGAGCTGCGGAGGTTTCTGAGCTATGAGGTAAACTCTCCGTCTCTGTCAGGATGGAGCCGGCCCGTTAAGGGAGCAGTAACCCGGGTCAGAGCCCGGTCCTTCACCGGGCTCTGACCCGGGTTACTACCCAGAGAAGAACCGGGTTACCCGGCTTCTCTGCTGGGAGACGGGCAGGCTGGTGCTAACATGCTAACAGGCTGACGAAGCAGCTGCTGGGGATTGGAGCTGAAAGCTAACTTAGCTTGGCTTACAGTCGGCTTGTTCTTCCTTGGTTTAGCATATAGCACCAATTAGCTTCACCGCTGCTGTCACACAGTTTAATTAGACTACCTGACAGCTAACTTAGCTTAGCTTGCAGCTGAGTTGGTCTACTGCTGTTTAGCATATAGCATCAGTTAGCTTTACTGTTCAGTTACACAGTTTAATTGAAATGACAGCTGCTGTCAGTTAGCAACTCGGCTAGCCTGGCTAACAGCAGGGTGTTAGCTGCACTGACAGAATAAACTGTCATTTAAGGATGACGTCATCCTAACGCTTGATTTAAGTTGTGACGTAATTGTGCGTCTGTGTGTGTGTGTTTGTGTGAGAGTGAGTGATGGGGATGAGGGGGGTTTAACCGGCAAACTGCGGCTAACACTGTTAGCATAAAGGCCTTTAGGTCAGCTGGCAGGTGAAGCTCAGCAGGAGGAGGGACAGGTGAGGGGTGACTGACAGGTGAGGGGTGACTGACAGGTGAGCTGGGTCTGTGGGCAGCTCATCGATCAGCACTGGAAGGATTGTTTCTTTTTTATCTTGACTCAGACACACTCACGTTATTAATTCTCAGTCTACATTCTGTGATTGCAGCTTCTTCAGGGAATATTTTCTGGGTTCTTTCCTCTGTGACACTAAACTGAAGCTCGTTGGGCAAACTTAGACATCTGAGGAAACTCTGATTCACAGCTTTCATAATAAAAGATGTGTCACGCACTGCTGCGACAGCTCAGACCTCTGCTTGACTCCAGCACGTCCTCTCTGAGTTTCTTACTTGTATGATTCAGTACGTGTTGTCTGGAGTTTTCGCCCTGTTGCCCAAAATGGCCAAGTTGCTTACAGTGATCATCACTCCGCTCGTAATTCTGTGGTTAGTTTGCGATGGCCTTCGAGCCTTCTGAGCATTTTGAGACCACATTTGTCGACATCTTTGTGCATAGTTACCATGGTTACAGGCGTTATTCTTGTCTGTGGAGAGGCGACTAGAAAAGCTCAGCAGAAAAGTCTGTCACATGATTTATTTCATGTATGATCAGGAAAGCAGACAGCAATCAACATTCAGCTCTAAAAAAAGATGGTCGTCATGACAATACCTGGATCTTCCACTCATCCCGCTCCAGGCGCGAGGAACAGTGTATTAAAATCAGGATTCATTCAGAACTTTCTGTCTGGATTTAAACTGGAACTTTTCTAATGGAGTTTGGTTTGATGAAGGTATCACCCCTTGCAGGAGTGCTGAGCTGTTCCTGTAACGTTCTCCCTCCTTGCAGGAGTGCTGAGCTGTTGCCTCCAGGCGGTCTGGCTGTTGGACTATGCTGTGTTTGTCCACTGGGTGGCGCCTCCTGAGCCGTGCTCGCCGCCTCCCTCCCTGCCCCCCCCAGTCCGTCGCCATGTACACCACCCGCCTCTACAGCACTGCGGGGGGAGGAGGAGGAGGAGGAGCAGGAGGGGGAGGAGGGGGTGGGGTCAAACAGGGGCGAAGGGTGGGGCTTGCTGTGCTTGAGGCACCCCACCCTTCTCACCCCCACCTCCCCCACCACCCGGCACCCCCTCCCCCCGCCTACCCACTGTACCAGGGCAGACCTGATGCCCACCGAGGAGCTCACTTCCACCATCACTACCACCCCCACCCCCACCCACAGGCCCACCACCTGGCCCCGCCCCCGCTACCCGCCCACTACCAGCATCACACCCCCTTCCACGTGTATGGGGGCGGAGCTCCGGCAGGAGGAGCGACTGGCACCAAGAAGAAGACGTGGAACTTCATCCACGAGAAGATGAGCTACGACACGTTCTTTACAATGAAACGGCTGATCGAGCGCTCACGGCGGCCCGACGAGGTTCTGCGCTGGGTTACCCAGAACCCCGCCAAGATCTCCCACAACCATTACCCTGTCGCCCTGCAGAAGATAGGACAGCTGCTGCAGGCCACGCCCCCGTCGCGCACCGCCAGGGACGACGCTGATGGCGAGGCCTCTGGTGGTGGAGCAGCAGATGGGGAGGGGCGTCAGATCCTGGAGCACCAGGACTTCCAGACACTCTGCACCGCCATCGTCAGCGACTGCGCCAAGTTCGACAACTTCAGCATCGTCAACTGCCTGTATGCCGTCGCCGCGCTCGGTGAGTCGCCGTGCAGTCAAGCACAGACCAACCCCACACCACCCACCTGTCTGAGCCCTGCTTGGTTGTAGTTGTGATAAACAGATCGTCCACAAACATTTTTCGTCATAGTTTTTGTTGAAGTTAACACAGCTCTACGTCGCGCAGGTCTGCCCAGTGACTCCCAGGTGGTCCAGGTGCTGGAGGCGGAGTCTCAGTCCAGACTGAACCAGTTCAACCAGAAGGACGTGTCCATGGTGTTCAGCTCCAGCATGAAACTGCACCCAGGCAGCCAGCACCCGCTGACCGAGGCCTGCCTGGCCGGGTTGGAGAAGAACCTGGAGAGGGAACGCCACCCGCAGACGCTCTTCCTGCTGCTCTCCTACTACAGACTCAAGTGGCGCTCGCTGCAGCCACAGGAACCGGCTTCAGCGGCTGGAGGGGGCGCTGCGACCACCAGCGCTAACAGCAACAACACACCTCCAAACCCTGAGCAGCTGCTCGCCAACAGGTGAGAAACTCTCCATTCATCCTTCTCACACTCGCGAAGTGTTTACAGTGACATGTGTGCTCATCACCAAACATCTGTCTGTCCTCAGGAAGATCTTGCGTCTGGTCAAACACACTCTGGCCAGCGTTAGCGGGGTGCGTGACCAGGAGATGGCTCTGCTGGACGAGATGTTGGCAGCATGTGCAAGAGAGGCGAGCAACAAGAGTCTGGAACTGATCTTCAGCTCTCACCTGTTCTACCAGAACCGACAGGAGAGGTTCATCAGCAGCCTGGCAGGTGGGTGTAGCTTTTTCTTTGAAACTTCAGATCCTAAATGGAACCCAACCCGACCATGTGACCTGCTGTGGTTTTTTTCTCCAACAGAGGAGCTGCCGAAGAAGGTGGACAGCATCACTCCGTACACCATGGCTCTGATAGCCAAATACATCGCCCGCCATCGGCTGAGAGAGACGAGGCTGCTTGACACCATCGCAGACTTCCTGGTGAAGAAAGCAGAGTACCTGGACAGCAAGGTGAGGACTGCTTTGAGATCAGTTGGTCTACACACCTGTGCGTGGAACTCAGGTGTGCTCCTGTCTGCCCTCAGGTGATCCAGAAGCTGGTGTTCCCGTTCAGCAGGATGAGTTACCGTCCTTCTAATGAGCAGCAGTTCTTCTCTCGGCTGGAGGAGGTCGTGGAACTGAAGGCGCTCAGCTCGCCGCTGGCCACCGTCAACATCCTCATGTCTCTGTTCCAGCTGGGACATTTCCCCGGCCTGGTGCTACATCGAGTCTTCTCCTCCGCCTTCATCAGCAACGTCACCAGTCAGTACCGCCAGACAACCAGTAAAACACTGGTGCAACCAGCAAAACTAGAGGACAACCAGTATAACACTATTAAAACACCAGTATAACCAGTTAAACACAACTACAACCAGTAAAACACCAATATTTGTACCACTGCAACCAGTAAAACACTAGTAGAAACCCACTACTTCCAGTACAACACCAGTACGGCCGGTAAAACCCGTAGAACCAGTGAAACACCAGTACTCCCAGTCTAACCAGTCTGTGCCCCACAGACAGCCCGTACGCTCTGATTGTGCGGCGGTATCTGTCCCTGCTGGACGCCGCGGTGGAGTTGGAGTACCAAGACTACAGCGGACCTCGACTGCAGGATGCCCACAAGGTGCTGATGTTTGACCATGCCCTCACTGCTGATGAGGTCAACCGCAAGTACAGGTAACACCTCACCTGTTCTGACTGGTTCTGTCTGGTCCCGACCTGTTTTGTCTGGTTGTGTTTCTGACTGGTTCTAACTGGTTCTGTTTGGCTCTGTCTCTGGTCAGTTATAAAGGTCTGGTGGCTGAGGCTCTGCGACAGCTGGTTGGAGAACAGAACTACAAGCAGGATGAAGTACTTGCCCCGGGATACTACACAGGTACTGCACGCTGATAACTGCAGTTTTCTTGTGCTGTAATCTGAGTACTCAATATTCATGTACTCCGAGTACTGCAGACTGAGTAATGCAGTATATCTGCTGTTCCCTGATCACTCTTCCCAGACTTTGTACTGTGGATGGACAGTTCTGGTCGGGTCCTACCCATCAGGACTGGCGCCGGTCTGGCTCTGAGCATTGTTCCTTCGTCCTGTGTTGCCGTGGCGTCCAAGCCGGCTGAAGGTGCAGTTGCCGTGGTGACCTCAGAGTTCCAGAAGTTCTCTCCGTTTGCGACGCTGGAGGAAGGCGCAGAGCAGACGTGTCAGGTAGGTGAGGCGATTGGCGGAGCCATGGAAGCCAGATCCTTCCTGCCCCACCACATCCGCAGCACATCGGGGGCCGCAGTGCCCTCAGGGCCCCCCAGGCCTGGGACTAATGGTGGGGCCCTGGACTACGGTCCCTACTATGTCCCTGCAGCCGAGTACTACGCCAGCCTGGCAAAGGAGCACTCTCTGGAGAGCCAGGACAGTTCCACTCTCAGCAGCCCCCCTTCCGATGGCCTGGCCCCGCCTGGGGCTCAGGGGCCTGCGGGGGCCCCGGCACCAGACTCCCTGTTTCAGTTTTCCATTGGGAAGATCCTGGAGGATGAGGGGGGCTCAGGGGCCCCGGGAGTCCAGGGGACAGACTGTGAGCTTCCTGGGTTCTACGAAGGAGTGCCGTACTCTGAGGGGTCCGAGGCCGACAGAGTACCCCCGTCACCTCCACAGCTCCACCCCCCCGACCGACCAGACCCCGACACCATCCCGGCAGACCAGAGACAGATCCGGAGGTCAGCCCACCTTAGAATCTCAGGTTCTGGCAGAAAGTGCTCTCTGAAGGAACTATGGTGTGTAACCCTGTGTCTGTCTCTGCAGGGTCATCATGTCCGTCAACGACAAGTGGCACTACTGTCACAACTCCGAGGTTCTGGTCGGATCTCGGGCCATGAGGGATCGACACCTGAGGCTGCTGGGGTACATCATCCTGCAGGTCAGTCCAGAACTCCAGAACCAAACCAGCCGGTCCATGATTTAGACATGAAACAATGGTTTTAGCTGGACTAATCTGTTTGGTTCTTGAAGGTGTTCCACCTTCATTTAATGGGGTTCCTTAGTTCTAACCTACAGGTTGGGCAACCCAGGTATCTATTTTCAGCCCTCATCACATGGCTTGTGGCAATTGATGTGAAACTGCCTGGTGAGGGATGTAGGGGAGATGAAACAACCACTCCACAAGGACATGGCCCATCACGGGAGAGCAGCTTCTCAGGACCAGACTCAGCATCCAGCTGCATCTCAAGGACCAAAGACAGTCTGAGGACAGTTGTGCTCATAAAGAAGAGACGGATGGTTTGCGAGTGAAGGAAGTGGAGCAGCATCTGTCCACGGAGGAGGGTGTCACTGCACTCATCAGACAGTTGTGATGCTCATTCACACCTCAGAGCCTGTGAGTCTGAGGTCGATCAGCCGTGTGATTCAGAGTGAGAATAAATACCTGAACCTCAACAGCAGTCAGTCAGAACTGAGGAATACTCTGGGATGAAGTTGGAACATCTACAAGAATTGAAATGAGAACTTGTGTTGCCTTGTGTTGTCATGTGACGGGTGTCTTGTTCCCTCTTAGCTGCCGTACCACGAGCTGGAGAAGCTGAACGGCATCGAGGAGGTGAAGCAGTACCTGCACAAGAAGCTGCTGGACGTCCCGCTATGACGCCCTGTGTGTGTGTGTGTGTGTGTGTGTGTGTGTGTGTGTGTGTGTGTGT